TGACAGTCCGTGACCTTGTGGCTGTGGCCTAGTAAATATTTATTATTCTAATGTCTACACGTGCTCCCATGCGTGTATGATCTGGTAATGATCTACTCGTGCGAGTAGATATGCGTCAATGTGTGCAGAGGGATGACCCACATGAGACATCACGCGTGCTCTCCACAAAGTTTTCACGTTATTGAATTTCATGCTGTGGGATTGCTCGGGAAAAGTGAATAAAGATGTACAGTTATGGACCTTTCACATATGATGCATACCGGAGTACCCAGTTTAGCCAAGGACAAGGACATTTCCTACAAGATTTTTCTTCCTGGATATACCCTGAAACTTTGGCCATGCTGAAACGTTGGTTGGTATCATTATTATTATTGTTATTCGTAATTTTACATATTCAAGACAAAAACCAGGAAAACAGCAAAAGCAACCAAGTTATTTCTCAGAGTCAGGCTTTCAGGGTCAACTCTATCGGAGACAGGTTAAAACCACAATGGTGACTTACAAGGAAACCCCCCCAACCCGACCCCACCGATTTCAATAATTTTTTGATATGTTGTAGTACTCGACAAAATAAGAGACACGTATTTTTTTTTGTGCGAAGTTCAAGAAAGAGACGAAAAGTCATTCCACCGAGAGCGCCAATCAAATGATTTCAATGGAGAAGTCGATCCATCAAGTGACCAAGCGGTCCCATTGATCTGCCGATCCTGCTGATCTTACTTAGCCAAGTGGCTCGGTTAACTCAACTCGAATGGCTCGGGTGGCTTCGATCGCGAACTTGAAAGAGAATGAGAGGCAGGGTAAAGGGGGGTATTGGGGGGGTATGATACTTCTCTTATCATGAATTCATGACGTATGGTTACTCCAGGAGGCATTTCACTAGACGGATAGAAGGAACTATGCTACCTGGCAAAGATACATTGCTAGCCGCCTCCAGGACTGAATCTACCATCTACCCAACAGAGTGACCTGACGCCGATCTGATCAGGATACTGAATAGGAAATCCTTTATTATTCCTTTATGTTTCCCTTATTTCGCTTTGATATCAAATACTTCATTTATTCAAAGACAATCGATCACTCTGTTCAACTATTACTTAGTGATGTATAAAGTATTGGAGACTGCGGGTGCTTGATGACTGTTAGAGATAATAGGTCTAGGGGATAATAGCTGGTATTCAAATATTTCAGGATCAGGCTGGAGACACGTAATGGCTTCCACCGAGAGCGCCAATCAAATGATTTCAATGGAGAAGTCGATCCATCAAGTGACCAAGCGGTCCCATTGATCTGCCGATCCTGCCGATCCTGCTGATCTTACTTAGCCAAGTGGCTCGGTTAACTCAACTCGAGTGGCTCGGGTGGCTTCGATCGCGAACTTGAAAGAGAATGAGAGGCAGGGTAAAGGGGGGTATTGGGGGGTATGATACTTCTCTTATCATGAATTCATGACGTATGGTTACTCCAGGAGGCATTTCACTAGACGGATAGAAGGAACTATGCTACCTGGCAAAGATACATTGCTAGCCGCCTCCAGGACTGAATCTACCATCTACCCAACAGAGTGACCTGACGCCGATCTGATCAGGATACTGAATAGGAAATCCTTTATTATTCCTTTATGTTTCCCTTATTTCGCTTTGATATCAAATACTTCATTTATTCAAAGACACTCGATTCACACTCTGTTCAACTATTACTTAGTGATGTATAAAGTATTGGAGACTGCGGGTGCTTGATGACTGTTAGAGATAATAGGTCTAGGGGATAATAGCTGGTATTCAAATATTTCAGGATCAGGCTGGAGACACGTAATGGCTGACAGGGGGGAGGGGGGGGGGCTGACAGGCCTATTTTTGAAGAATAACTGAAAGAATGAAGAACGTGGTAGGTAACACGTAGGTATGGTAACACGAGAAGGCCACCAACGTAGCCAGCGTGTCCGGTTTCGAATTTGTCGAAACTAATTAAAAGCCACAGGTTATGGTGGAATAGTCGACGATTCGCATAATTGCGCACTGAAGCGTATGATAGAGAGAATCTTGGATTTTACTAAAACAAAATGTGAATTAATATTTTTTATTTTTTAAATATTTGCAAAACGGTATATCAAGAATCTAGTGTATTTTTATTGTTTCATTCGATAAGCTACTTCTTTAATGATTTGTTACCTTTATTTTCTTACCCTTTCTAATGTCACGTGCTACGTCCGACCGTTAAACTGTTCGATTTGATCAGGATACTGAATAGGAAATCCTTTATTATTCCTTTATGTTTCCCTTATTTCGCTTTGATATCAAATACTTCATTTATTCAAAGACACTCGATTCACACTCTGTTCAACTATTACTTAGTGATGTATAAAGTATTGGAGACTGCGGGTGCTTGATGACTGTTAGAGATAATAGGTCTAGGGGATAATAGCTGGTATTCAAATATTTCAGGATCAGGCTGGAGACACGTAATGGCTGACAGGGGGGAGGGGGGGGGGCTGACAGGCCTATTTTTGAAGAATAACTGAAAGAATGAAGAACGTGGTAGGTAACACGTAGGTATGGTAACACGAGAAGGCCACCAACGTAGCCAGCGTGTCCGGTTTCGAATTTGTCGAAACTAATTAAAAGCCACAGGTTATGGTGGAATAGTCGACGATTCGCATAATTGCGTACTGAAGCGTGTGATAGAGAGAATCTTGGATTTTACTACTAAAACAAAATGTGAATTAATATTTTTTATTTTTTAAATATTTGCAAAACGGTATATCAAGAGTCTAGTGTATTTTTATTGTTTCATTTGATAAGCTACTTCTTTAATGATTTGTTACCTTTATTTTATTACCCTTTCTAATGTCACGTGCTACGTCCGACCGTTAAACTGTTCGATTAAGAATTGTATGCAGAGGAGGATTCAATTGTCTCCAAATGAAGAAGCATTTATGCGAGTGCGTGACTCTTTTACTCTTCCTCACCAAAAGACAAGCATTGTATTCGTTTTGTACGTGGCCCGGGTCTCTCACGACACCCGAAATCTTCTTGTCAAAATGGGCACACACGTCTGTAGAAAGTAGAGGGTGATTCAGTGATGATAGGTAACAAATATTACATTCAGCAACAGTATATCATAAGGACGCTGCTTAGAGAAATCAATTTTCACTATCGCCCCAAAGGACTTAAAATTAGAATTTCTATAATATAGTATATATATTCTATAAATACAAAAAAAATATTATTCTTCCCACTCCATTACCCTTCGAACGAGTAAATAATAATCAAAGAAATTCTAATGAAAATTCTAATAATAAAGATAGCTTCTAAAAACGGATTCAGACATTTAGATCTAGGCAACAGAATAATTTTTTTGACTCTGGTTCGTTAACTATCGATTCCACGGACCATTTTTCCAAATCAATTGTCACGGTACGTTCGTGATCGTCTGTCTCATGTTTCTCCTGTAAAATCTTAAGACTGACAAAGACTGACAGATTGATCAAAGAAGATTGATTGATCGACTCGACATTGCATCGAGCTCCATATTGTATTCCACTAACTAACCAAGAAGTTATCCTTCTAACTGTAACTTGACTGTTTCTGGCCGAGCCAGTAACAGTTACCTACTAGAGATAGTAGAGACCGTAAGGAGCAGACAGTCGAATCGCCACGAGACTGAGAAGAATAATAATGAGTGAAAAATAATAAGACTAATAACTTCTCGATTTAGGACAGTCGAATAACAGGACCTTAAGTCTATGACGATTAAAAGTGACTGATAAATTATTTTTTGAAAATCTCTCACCATAAAAGATTGCGCAACTAATTTTGGTAACTACATACGCAGAAGATAATACAAAGTTTTAATCAGTTGATGTCAGTTCATAAATTCATGTATCTGCTTAAATTGACATAACGGCCGTCTGATTGCAATAACGGATAGCGTTCTATGAATTTGACTTTACAAAGAGACTCGTATGCTGCATCTTTTGTTCATTGATAATTCTTATGGATAGAATTGAACGTCGACGAGGAGCGTTTAGGTATCGATTCAAGCTCAGCATAGCGGAACCAGTAAATCTTGAGAAATAACGAAAGAGGTCGTGTTCCAGAGGATACTTCCTTTTTAACGACACCCACGTCGTAGTGAAGATACTTGAGAGACAGATCGACATTATTCTCAATAGATAGCTATACATATATCGTCTTGCGTGATCAAGGAACTAGGATCATAAAGAGGAACCTCATTCACCATAACAACTAGGTGGCTGACCCTATGAGGAAATCATGAAAATCACACGCTCCCCCCCCCCCCCCCCCCC